GGAATATTCTCTCCCGTGTTATTCTTGTGTTATTGTGTGTTATTCATGTGTTATTCATGTGTTATTGTGTTATTATAACACCAGGAATATTCCCAGGATACAATAACACATGAATAACACACAATAACACATGAATAACACGGGGAGGAATATTACCCGTGTTCCTGCGCCGTTTTTTTTCTGCGTCGCGCGGAATATCGTGGCGTGATTTCATTGAGTACGCACGTTCCTCTAAGTGCGTAGTACTGATGTAATATTTTGTCCAGAAATACGAAGGCGAGAATTTTAATATCTGAAAAACAAAAAAAAAAGCTTATCTTATCAATCTCGCCACTAACGTTAAAAGTTCCCATCCTCAGCGTTGTTCTAAATCGGCAAAGATCCTTTATCTCCTCATGGACGCAAACCTCGCCTTCTCTCACGATGGCCAAGCTCTCTTCCTTCTCCTTGTTCTTCTTACTCCTCTCCTCCTTATGCTCAGCCGGCGAGATTGCTGACGATTTGAGATTCTCTGACAAGACTGATTTGCCGGCTTTCACTGCCAAGAAACTTATCCGCGCCCTCAACCTCCTCCCCAAGGAGCTTTCTCCCGATCACGCAACTGCTGCTGATGTCTTACCGGGATCGATCATCGAGAGGCCGATCCGGCTCTCCAGCTTCTCGAGTAAGGACTCTGTCGAGGATCTAGGGCACCATGCTGGCTATTACCGGCTCCCCCATTCTCACGACGCCAGGTGGCTGGTGTTTATTGTATTCATGACTTCCGAAATTGTTCTAGGTATAGGGTTTCTTCTGAATACATTTGAGAATTTGATTGTTGATTGGTTGGTTGTTTTTAGGCTGTTCTACTTTTTCTTTGAGTCGCAGGAATGATCCTGTAGTTGTTTGGTTGACTGGTGGACCGGGTTGCAGCAGCGAATTGGCTGTTTTCTATGAGAACGGGCCTTATAAAATAGCTGACAACTTGTCATTGGAGTGGAACGAATTTGGTTGGGATAAGGTAATGCTGAGCTCTGTCTCTCTTAAAAACTTCCTGCTGGATATAATACTTAATTGAGAGTTTATATTGGAATATCATGAGCGAGGATTGATTCAATTATTGATTGGAATTTTTCTTTCTCTTTTAAATAAGGGAAATTTATATACGTACGACAATTCTTGTGCATTTACTTATCTAACTCTTAATTTTAATATTTGCATTTATAACACTTCCGTGTCCTAAACTTATGCATGAAAAATTGGCTTTCACTTAAAAAAAAAAAAGGAATAGTGGTATTTTTGACGTACAGTTTTTAAGTGTTATGCATGTAAATAAGAAAGTTAAGGTGGTAGACATGTAAATACAAAAAAAAACAAAATGTAAATGCCCCTTAAAATATTTTCTTTTAGGAAGAAATTTTTGAAGGAGCATAACAAACAAAATATTTAGATATCTTGTTAATTAATGGAACTATGATATCGAACTTAACCCAAACCGTGGTATAAAAAACATATGTTATTACCGAAAACAAATATGCGGTTACAATCAACACACTAGAAAAGGAAATTGTAACAAACACAACATGAATTCACGTTAGGACTCGACCCATGGGTGGTGGAAGTCGGCTAGGTGGTTGGGGAGCGAAGGCAGATGATTGAAATTGGGTTGTAGGTGTTGGGACAACCAAAGGAGAGGTTGGAATTGCATTGACAGTGCAGCAAAATGCTGGGACAACAAGGGTAGAGGTGAGGTTGCGAGCGGAACGGCGAGGCACGACAGGAAAGGCTGGAACAACCTGGGGACAATAGGAAAACAACATATTTAGTTGTCAATTCCTTGGACTTAGGACTATCTTTGACTAATGTGAATTTTTGTCAATTCCTTGGACTTAGGACTATCTTTGACTACTAATGTGAATTTTGTTGGAGTCCCTCTTATATTCTCGGCTAGAGCTATGTGCCTTTTTTCCTCATCTATTGGAATATGATCCTTCTCCTTTGTGTTCTCAACTTCTTCAGTGTCAACTGTGTTATTGCCTATTTTTTCAACGACACCCTGCTTAGTGAAACAAATCATCCCTCTGGTTGTGCAATCTACTTTATTATGTCCAAATTCATGCACTTGAAACACCTCCTGACTTGGACAGATTTAAGAATGCGGATTGGTGCTATTTGTTTTTCACTCTGAACTAGTGTCTCTTTAGGTGAGGTCAACTTGGATGTTCTCCTGGGTATGCTCTGATTGTAAGATCATGGGGTCGAACTCTGCCTGTGAGATATGATGGTCATCCATTGATGTTGTCTCTTCACCTTTGAAAATAGGGTCTGAACATTTAGTCTGTAGTGAGAAGGTAGGAACTGACATTGCATCTCCCGTTTCATTTTGGATCAGGTAGCGATCTTATCTTTTTCCTCATGCTGCCTTAGTTACTTCAGATTTTGCTACCAAAATAATACACTCTTCTTTAGCTTGCTGACATCTAGTTTCATCATCTCATCTGGGAGATGTTCTGTCACTCAAAAGCACATTCCAAGGTTCAGATTCATTCAATGACCTCATCAGGATCCATTTGGCTGTTGAAATTTGGCAAATCCACCTTTACTTGACGATTTTCGCTTCTTAGATATTCTAGGTCAAATCTTTGAGACAGAGGTTCTTCATTCCTTGAATCAACATGGTGGAAGAGATTCACTCCATGCCTTCGATCTAGCAAGTCACTGTTGTGGCAACAGGTGACCCATTCGGATTGCTTCCTCTAAAAAATAACAAGCCTTTATTGTCGTTGGTTGGTTTCTCATTGCATATATTCTATACAATTCTCTTGGTTATAAGTTCTCCATAAATGACATCGTGCTCTTTCCCCTTGATAGGCTTTTGATTATTGACTCGGTAGCATGGATAGGTTTTAGCATTGGGAGGTGAAAGAGAGTGTAAAAAATGATTTGGGTGCGACCATACCAGCACTAGTCCACCGGATCCTATCAGAACTCTGCAGTTAAGCGTGCTTGGGCGAGAGTAGTATTAGAATGGGTGACCTCCTGGTAAGTCCTCGTGTTTCACCCCTCCACATGGATTGAGGTGGAAAACGAATTGTTCAAACATTTTCTGCCTCAAAACTATTTAGCTATTTTGGAAATTCTTCTACTTGAAAAGATATATTTTTTGTTGAATACTATTTTGTCCATGGAATCAAATCCAAGGAGTAGAGACAATAAATGGGGGGAAAGGAGCTGTAGAAAAAAGAGGGATATGGAAAGGATGAAGTATGAGTTCTCCTGTGACAAACAAAATTAGAGAAAGTCGT